GGGATTTCGTGGTGGCACGGTAGTGTGGGTGCTTTCCCGATCGGATGCGATTCAGCTGGGACCTGATCCCTGGGCTAGCAGGCTTCCCGAGACAACGCTCCAGGAGGGTATGGCCCAGACGCCCCGAGGTATAGCCCCCACACCGAAAACAGAAAGCCACTTTGTCGCCTACTTCGAAGGCGTCTCTATCGAGCATCGGACGAGCGCGTGCCGTCTGAAGTAGAACGCATATCGGGCCTCGTCGGCCCAGCTCAGATCAACTCCTTCCTCCGCTCCAACGACACTCGACGACGAGACGACCTCCTCCTCCTCCTCCTCCTCCTCGGCGGGGTCGGGCGGGGGCTCCGCTGGCAGCTCCTGGTCGTGCAGCTGCAGCCCGACCGTGTCCTGCCTGCTCTGGCCGCTGGTGGCCATCAAAACCTCCAGCCTACCCGCCCACCTCCCCTGCTCGGCCACAAGGGCCTTGAAACCACGAAAAAGTTCAGCATGGGAGTCCTAGCTTGGCATACTGATCAGCACTCGAATTGGCCTTTTTCTCCCAGACCGTAGTGCGACCAGCTTCGATGTCCTTACTGGTGGCGTGGGCCAGAGTCTTGTGGGCCTGGATGTCACACCCGTCGAAGGCGGCCCAGAACGGGCTCCACATGTGGCCCCTCGGGGACCTCGCTTCAGCCCCTGACCCTGGACCTCCGAGCAACACATCTAGAGTGGCCTTGCAATCCAGATACAGATCAAACGGAGCGATGCCCACTTGTGTGAGCATGTGAATCGCGAAATCCTCGCCGTCTTTGGCCGTTTGGCGAGGGCCGAAACTGAGCGGCACGGGGCCGTAAGCAGCATGCAGCAAGTTTCCCAGAGGATCCACCTGCACGAGAGCCCAGCCTGCTCTGCAGACTCCTGGAAGAGAGGGCCACAAGGCCGAGCCGTCACTAAAGATGCACCCCGTGAGGAAACCACTGGCAGGCTTATTAACCCACCTGATCGTGGTCTCAGGCTCCTCTCGAGGAATGAAAGCCAAGGGGCTGGGCATCACACATTTCGCAAACCGCTCCCCAACGTCCTCCCCACAATCCAAAACACGGCGGGCGCGAGCAGCAAGCCAGGGGGAGACGGCGTCCCTTCTGACGCTGCTGTGCGCAACACATTCGTACTGCCTGTGCCACAGCGTCCCCCGAGCCTCCTTACAAAGTTGACAGACATCAGAACTGTGCAGCCCGTGACCACACACTCTGGCCTGTGGCCAATGCACATTGCACACAAGCGAGCGAAGCGCACGCTGGTGATGGGCCGTCCAGATTTTGGTTTTACCCCTGAGGAGCGTCCCCAGGTCGGCCCAAAAAATAGGAAAAACACCATCGAGCCCTCGAGGGCCCTCGCCCCCGAGGCGCCCCACGCTTTCCAACGCAAGCCTGTCGGAGGCTCTGGAAGCTCCTTCGTGCACCAGTTCCCTGATCTCACAGGGCGAGAGCTGGCTGAGGTTCCAAACCGAACCCAAGTCATCACGGAGCCTGGTGCTGGTTAAAAACCTCCAGCCGATCCTGTCCAGGGAAAGGAAAGCAACATCCGCTGGCGACGAGGCAACCCTCCAAGGGTGACGGTAGCGCGCCAGTTTTTCGATAGCCGCCTCCATCGTCGCCCCCAGGATCAGCCTCGAAGGAAAACTATCCCAAACAGCCGTGGCCCATTGAAACACCACGTGCCCAGTGTAGGCCACCAAGGGATCACACAGCAAATCCATCCTGAACGAATGGAGCCTGAGGCCTAAACTACAGCCCTCGGGGAGGCGACCGATACTCCGAGCAGCCGAAACTCGAAGACCGTGCATCGCAGACGGGGGGGGACGATGACGAGGGGGAGGAGGAGGAGGAGGAGGAGGAGGAGGAGGAGGAGGAGGAGGAGGAGGAGGAGGAGGAGGAGGAGGAGGAGGAGGAGGAGGAGGAGGAGGAGAGGAGGAGGAGGAGGAGGAGGAGGAGGAGGAGGAGGAAGGAGGAGGGAGGGAGAGGAGAGGGAGAGGGAGAGGAGGAGAGGGAAGAGGGAGAGGGAGGGAGGAGGGAGGGGAGGGAGTGAGGCAGGGAAACGCCGGATGGACGGAGGGAGGTGGAGGCGGAGGAGAGGAGGAACAGGAGGAGGAGAGAGGAGGAGGAGGAAGAGGAAAGATGAGGAGGAGGAGGAAGAGGTAAGGAGGAGGAGGAGGAGGGAGGAGTAGTAGGAGGAGGAGGAGGAGGAGGAAGATGAGCCACTGGAGCTGAAAGAGGAAATAGGAGGAAGACGAGGACGAGGACGAGGGACGAGGACGAGAAGGAGAGGAGGAGGAGGGAGGAGGAGGAGGAGGAGGGGGGAGGAGGACAAGGGGGGAAGAAGCTGAGAGGAGAAAGAGGATCAGCAGCAGCAGGAGCAGCAGGAGCAGAAAACAGGAGAGGAGGAGGAGGAGGAGGAGGAGGAGGAGGAGGAGGAGGAGCAGGAGCAGGAGCAGGAGCAGGAGCAGAGGAGCAGGAGGAGC